TGCATAGTACATAAGATTATTTAAGAAAAATTAAATCAATGTAAGTCCCTATTTAAGTTCATATACACTTTTATGTGTTTATGTAAGGAAGGAGAAAGTAGTAAAATGTATCATTGGTTACTTGGGAAGAAAGAGAAAATAGAGGAAGAGCAGAAAGAGGACGATTACCCTGGTCTCAGTCTGCTTTTCTTTTTAAATTTGAAACACCCCCGCCTACAAAATTTTTCTTTAAAAGCACAATATATAGGTACTGTAAAAAGAAAAAGAAATTCATCAGTTAGAAGAAAAAAGAGAGCTTATAAGCAGAGTATTAAAGGAAAACTAAAGCTATAATGATCTATGAGGTTTCAGACCAGATACAGGCCTTGCAGGGAAAGCTGAGGTTTTAATGCCCATACGGAAGAAATGACACAAAAACACTAGTTACATCTCCTGTGTTAATCCTGGAGCCTCAAAATGTTCACAGACCTCATAGACTGAAAGTATTACAACCCAAAGACTCAGAAATGCAGAGAGGAAACTGTAGGTTTGGTCAGACCTTCAGGTGAAAGGTAAAAGGGAAAAGTTAACAGAAATCGAAATTCCAGTCTGTCTCATATGTGTGTGGAATGAAATTTTACACTCCTTTGTAGAATGGAAACCACGGACTCTGAAACTGACCAAAAGGTCTATAACCATTGAAACCCTTGGAGACCCCAACATTAAGAAATTCAATATGGCTCTGGAGTGGATTTCTGCTTCCAGCCAAGATGGATTAACAGGAATGTGAAACGATCAATTGTTGAGACAATAGAAATCAGGCGACAAAAGACAGTGATCCCTGAGAGATGGGACACAACCAAGCTGAGCCCTATGACCACCCTGCCTCAACACCTGGAGGGCATTTCCAGGCTGTGGCCCAGGAGGGAGAATACAGCAGAGCCTGGTGAGCTCACTGAGTTCAGAGTCAGAGTTGGGAACACGAGGAGGTGAAAGCAGCTGGGTTTCATAGGGTGGAGAACTGGAGAGGAGATTGCTGCACACAGAGAATTCTGGAGATCTGCACAGGGTTTCCCATGACTCTTCAGCTGAGTTCTAATCTGCATGCGTGTGAGGAAACTACCTGAGGTTGGAGAGAGAACCACTCACAAAGACCAAAGGAAATGATCTCCAGAGCTCACAGAGGGCTGGGAGTAATGCTGTTTCTTCCAGGCAGAATGGAAAACAATTCATGGGCAATAAGCAGACTTTTAAGACATTTTTAGCCTCAGTATTAAAGTAACATCAGCCTTAAGCTGAGTGTTATCTGGGCCATCTGGCACAGCTTAAAAGCAAGACCTCAGAAGATCAAACTATTTCTAAGTAATTTAATTGATTCCCTGAGCAAAGCTCAAGATTTCTTACAGGATACAAGATTATCCCTTTAGAGAAATTATTATGAAGTAGAGTTTATTTTAATACATAGTTAAATAGATACAGACATAAATACACGTATGTGTGTATATTGGGTCAGGGTACATGCATATATTTTCTAGCTCTGTCCACTGAAAGGACCTAGAGGCAGTGACAGCTCAGTAGCAACTAGCATACCCGGTCTTAGTTTCCAAATATATTCTATAATTAAAGCCTGTAGAGCTGATTTTAGGACTCGAGCATGGAAAGTATGAGATAAGCACAGAGCAAGAAGGGATTAAAAAAGGTAAAAAAATCAAAAGGACACAGGAACCAATGTGAAAGAGCTCCCACTGACCAAGGATGGAATTATTTGAGCAACACAATAAATAATGATAGTAATGGATAATAATTCAAAGAATAAAAGAAAATCAATAAATTCATGCTGACAATGAAATGATTAAATGGATAAAGAGGAGAGAAGAGCCCAGTCTCCCTTATTGAAAAATTCCAAATAATATATGCAGAAGGAAAGGACGGAAATAGAAAAACCTCCATCAGAAAACCGCTGTAGCGTATGCTGCAGGCAAAACCACTTGAAGTGAATGAATAAATGGGATACTTGCAGAGCCACCAAGTATCACCCCAAAATGTTAATTCACGCAGTGGTTTTATCCCATGTCTACACATTCTTTGATATTCTTCCCTCCAGGAAATGGAGCTTAATTCTCCTCCACTTGAATGTAGGCTGGACTTTGAGGTTTGCCTTTAATAAATACAGTAGAGAAATGAAAACAGTAAACAAGTGATCAAGGTTAATTAACACTGAGGGGAGAATCCGTTCCTTGCCTCTTCCAGCCCCTCATAGCTACCAGGACTCCTTGCTTTATGGCTGCATCACTTCAATCTCTGTCTCCAAGGTCACATTGGTTTTTCCACATCCATCTGTGTCAATTTCCCTCTGCCTCACTCTTATAAGAATATGTGTAATTGCATTAGGGCCCACCTAGATAATATGGAATAATCTCCCCATCTCAAGGTCCTTAATAACATCTGTAAAGTGTATTTTTGCCAAATAATGCAACATTCCCAGGTTCCAGAGATGAAGACGTGGATATATTTGTGTGGGAGAATGGGGGTCATTATTCAGCCTATCACACAATACGAAATGTTTGCTGATCCGTTTGGAAGTTTTGGTAGGTATCACTTTCCTGTGACACTAATGAAGCAGCTTTAGCTCTTTGTACATAAATGTGTAACTGGCATTCTCTTCACTGTTAAGTTTCAGTGTTTTTTACCTCACAGAAACTAGCTGTGCTGGAGTCTGTGTGACCCCAGCATGGTTGGGGGCTGTGTGCAGAGGAGACTGAAGAAGGCGCCTCTGCCTCAGAGCAGCATCAGAGCAGCTCTGGGGGGGAGGGACTTCTGTACTACGGGGTTCTGCTCAGCCTACCTTACCCGACCTGTTGTTAAGGAAGCAGTGGAGTGGAGGAGGAGGAGGAGGAAGAGAAGGAAGGAGAAGAAGAAGGTGCAGCTGAGTCTTGGTCTATCAAGTACTTCAAGCCTGGGCGCAAGCACGATTAACAGCAACATTACGAGTTGACTCGGCAGGGACTCAGGTGACCCAAAGCTGGAGAATTTCTGTTCCCTAAGCCGTAACGATTGTGTGGAGCTCCTCTATACCCTTCACTCAACTTCCCCTACAGTTAACAGCATGCATAACCAGGACACATTGGTCAAAACTAAGAATTTCACATTGGTGCTCCTAAACTACAGGCTATCCTCAGATTTCCCTTGTTTTCCTACTACTGCCCCTTTTCTGTTCCATGGCATAATCCAGGATAACACGCACTGTTTAGATGTCATGTCTCCTTAGTTTCTTCCAACTCATGACAGTTCCTCAGTCTTCCCTTGTTTTTAATGGTTTTGACACTTTTGAAGATTACCGATCAAATATTTTGTAGAATGTTCTTAAAATTGGGTTTATCTGACGCTTTATAATGATTAGACTGGGATTATCAACTTTTGAAAAGAATTCTGCAGAGGTGTGGTCGTATACTAACATCAAAACTTTGCAATATTGCATCATAACAGAGTGCACATGAGGTTAACATGACTTATTATTAGTCAGAGAAATACACTTTCTTTGGTATGATTTATACCCAAGTTTACGTTTCTATGATTTTGTGTAGAAACTTCTCCTTATCCACCATCAAAAACTCCATAAGACACATCAGCTGCTGTTACAAAAGGATTTAAAGAGATATGATATGCAAAATTCATAAAAGTATTCAGTTACAGAACATTGCCATCGGGACTTCAGATAAGTTCATCTGGTTTATATCCATGGAGATTCACTCAGGGTGGAATTTTCCTCCTTTGGGAGGCATCTTATAAGACATGCTGGTCACTGACCATTGCTCATTGGCACAGCAACTGGTGACTGATCACGTCAGATGCAGCCAGATCAGGGACATCTTCTCAGTGGTATCTGATGGGGCTGTTTGCCTTTGGACTTTGAAAGTCAAGAAATAGATGACAGTGAAATATCTATATTCACTCTATATAATGCACTATTTAAAATTTAATAAGAATTAAGTCAAATGTAAACATTTAAAGAAATTTGGATTGGAAGTAAACTAAGTCAGAAGAAACAAATGGAAGAGACTGGTTCTGGAACTGAGTCTTTCTCAGATTCTATTTTCCCAAGTCGTCTGGTTTATTCTGTTATCCTACATTAATTCAGACTGGCCTCTCCTTCATAACATCTTAAGTGCAGAGGGTAAGAATATTTTCTTTCCTACTTGGGAATCAAAGAAAAACTTAGAGATATATAAACATTTATTTACACACATGTTCATTCATATATGGGGAAACGGACATTATGTTTTTATCAAAGAACAGAGGCAAAAAGAGGATTTATAAAAGAAAGAGGATAGAAGAAAAGGAAATAAATTCTCTAGCAATTTGGGAACAGTGAGTATTATTTTCTTTATGGGGCAAACTGGTTAGAGGTCACCATGCACAGAAGCCTGTGTGAAGGGTGTGCCATGAGCAAGCTGTCTGGGATCATCAAAGGAAAAACGACTTCAGTTAATTATTGACCATCTCATAATCCTTGGAAGTCCATCTGCAGGGAGAAAGACAGGCTGTCTCTGTGTAGTCCCTGCCACGGCAACTCTTTAGCAACCCCATCTAACATAGGTCAGGTTTGCCCAAACTTGTTCATCAGAATCTTCTCAAAGGCAAAGTATTTCCTCCATGACTACCTTTTCTTTTCCTCTTTCAATGCAAAATCCCAAATCAGCTAGGTCTAGGGTTCTGTGTGTGTGTATGTGTTTTGTCCCTCTAGAAATAAAACAAAAGAAAACAGAAACAGTGCAGTAGGCACTGGTGAAATAGTTCCTAATTTAAACACAACTCAGGAATCTTGCTTCATGGCAAAGACAAACTCTGGTTATCGCCCAATAAACCACACGGGGGCACTGTGGAACTCCCAAGCTCCAAAAGTTTCTGGGGCAAAGCCAATTGTCTGGGACCAGGAGGGTTAAGAAACAGCCTTGATTGGTGTTTTGAAACCCTAGAAGGCTAATAGTAGAGACACTAATTCACAGTTGTGCTGGTCCAGCCTGGAGCCATGAACGTCAGCTGTGCAGTGGTGAGGGAGTCTCTCTGAGCTTGCAAGGGAAAGTGAGGGGTGTGGAACTGGAAAGAGGCAGCCAGCATGCCCCACGCAGGGACAGGTGGAGGGACTCCTGCTTCAAAGGAACAGCAAAGGAGCTGTAGGGATGGGCATGATGCCTAAAGCCAGCCTAGCCTGGACCACCCAAGTCCAGCCCTACTTGTCACAGAAGAAGCTTTGCAGGACAAAGCAGCATTCCTGGATTAGCTGAGCAAGGACCTGGCAAGGGAAGCCAGGCAGGAGCAGAGACAATGACAGCAGAGCCGTGACATCACCACCTAACCTCCAATCAGAGAAGGGATGCCCAGAACTTCATCTCTTAGGGACCAGAAATCTGAGCAGGGAGACACCTGCCTAGTTCTGCCCCACCGTGCCATGAGCTCCACGCTCCTGTGCTGTGTGGCCCTTTGTCTCCTGGGAGCAGGTAAGTCCTTGGTACAGGCGGGACATCTCCATTCTAAGCCTGACAGCGCCTAAATCCAAGGCACCATCCGGCTCCCTCCTGTGTTTCTTCACCAGCCCCTCTCTTCTTCCCTCACAGGCCCAGTGGATTCTGGAGTCACCCAAACACCAAGACACCTGGTTAAAACAAGAGGACAGCAGGTGACACTGAGATGTTCCCCTATGTCTGGGCATGACACTGTATCTTGGTACCGACAGCCCCTGGGTCAGGGCCTCCAGTTCCTCATTCAGTATTACAGGGGGGAAGAGAATGGAAAAGGAGACTTCCCAGGTCGATTCAAAGGGCAACAGTTGGATAACTACAGCTCTGAGCTGAACGTGAGTGTCCTGGAGCTGGTGGACTCCGCCCTGTATTTCTGTGCCAGCAGCTTGGCACAGCCCTGCATGATCAGCAGCCTACAGAACAAAAACCTTCCTGCCCCAGCTCAGGAAGTGACAGCGACGGTGGTGGCTGCCAGACAGACAAACTCAGGCCCTCATATATCAGACAGGCCTTCCCCTGACACTATTCCTGCTGCTTCTATATGTAATGTGTTTTATGCTCACAGAAATAATGCAAAATAAGTATTATTTTACCTATTTACATATGTGAGTGGAAGTAACTATCCTGGGTCTGATATTTCATAACTGGCAGAACAAGGAATTACACTCAAGCCTATTCCTCAACACCTGTGGTCCCCCACCCCCAGAACTGTCCCCTCATGTGGATTCCCTTTTCTAGGACCAGATTAGCAGGACTGGGAAGGTCATGCATTGTATGTGATCATCATGACTTGTTTTCTGACAACTTCAAGGAACATATGACTTCAAGACAAAGCATATCCATTGATCCTTTGTTGTGAGAAAAAAAAAAAGACTTCATATTCTGCACTGTAGCTGCTGTACGGACCTTAGTGATGTGTTATCTTTCATGGGGCCTGTGTGAGTAGGGAGGTTTCCAGATCTGCCTTCCCAGCTGCACAGCAGAGGAATGGGATATTTGCAAAGAAATGTGCGTCTTCCTGTGCGTGATACAATTACCAGGATGGAAAGGCACACAAATAATGGTTTCTTATTCTTTAGATCCTTTTATTCAGCAAAAATATTTGGTCCCTTACTTTGGACAAGGTATTGTATCACATAAATAGAAAATGAAAATATGCCTCATGTCTTTGAGAGTTTTAAGGTCATTATTAAATGCATAACATTTACCTTAAACATTTGACTGTTTCTATGGAAACCACCTGTCACATGAGGGCAGGTCCATTACAGAAGTATGAGCACTGAGTACATTAATGCACAAACACAGTTCAGTTCTGCTCCAGGCAGAAGACTCAGAAAAAAATATGCCATCATTTATTGACAATTCACTATATGCCAAATAAAAGTCTTTCATTTTAAAAATTTCAATTAATCATCGGAGAAAAACATAACAGGCAAATTCAATCACTGTTCTCATTTTAAAGATGAGGAATTTGCCCTTGAGTGAAATAACTTGACCAAATCAAATAGCTCCGAGGATGATGCAGAAGTGGGACTCAAACCCTGCTCTGTCTCCCTCTTAAGCCCCACGTTTATAACTCTGCGCTAGAACGCATTTTCACGAAGAGAGACGCCTTCCTTCAAAATCAGGATGCTGTCCCCTGTGTTCCTTTCAGACACGCTGGCTCTAATGAAATCATTGACAGGGATCAGTTTACCCAGGAGAGAGTGTGCAGAGAAAGAGCCCTGACCAGGCGCCGTGGACACCTGGCTCTGATGCCCATTCTAACACCTGCTGCCAGTCAAGACCTGAGGCCAGTTTCTTGACATGTGAGGCTGAATTTTTTCTTGTAAATAATGAGACTAATAATATCTCTCTGTAATAGTCAGTGTTCTCCAGAAAAAAGAAACCAGAAAATATATATGTGCATGTGTGTATGCACGTATATTCTACTTATTATAAGGAACTAGCTCACACAATTGTGGAGGCTGATTAGTCCACAATCCGCAAGCTGGGCTGGTGTGCTGGAGACCCAGGGAGAGCCTGTGTTTAAGTCTGAAGGCTGTTAGCTAGGAAGAGCTGATGTTGCAGCTGAAGGCCACCAGCTGGACAAGTCTCTCACCTGGGGGAGGATCGGTCTTTTCCTTCTATTCATGTCTTCAGCTGATTGGGTGAGGCCCCTCTAGTCAATGGAAGGCAAAGTGCTACTGATTAAAATGTTAATCTAATAGTAAAATCTACCTCTTTAAATGTTCATCTCACCCAATATCACCCTCTCAAGAACACCCAGAATGATGTTTAACAAAATATCTGTGCACCCCATGGCCCAGTCAAGATGACGCATTACATTATCTGTCATATCATCTCATGGTTGTATAAAAACATAATAAGCATAAAATACCTGGCACTTAACAGAAATCTGGATATCTTGATTCCTTTTATTCATCTCTGAAAGACACTTCCACTAATCCTTATGTGCAAAGGTAGACATGGACACATTTTGCACAAAAATCCTATAGTTGAAAACTTCAAATGTCACAGAAATGGAAATTATTCCTGAGAACTCATTGCATGAAATTAACAGGAGCATGTAACATACATTCATCCTCAGGCATTTTTAAATCCACTTTATTGACATATGAATTATACACAACAAACGTTACACATTTTAAATGAACAGATCAATAATTTATGAGAAATATATGTGCATATACCCATATAACACCACCTTGTGAAGATATAGGACATTTCCATTACCCAGAAAGTTCCCTCAGGCCCCTTTGCAATGGCTCTCTCCATCTCTGAAAACCAAGGATGTGATTTCTATCGCTATAGATTAATTTTCCCCAGGCCTCTTTTTAATGGAAATTTAAAATCTCTACTCAGGGGCTGGCCGAGTGGTGCAGCAGTTAAGTTCATGCGTTCTGCTTCGGTGGCACAGGTCCACCGGTTTGGATCCCGGGTACAGACATGGCACTGCTTGACAAGCCATGCTGTGGGAGGCGTCCCACATACAAAAAGTAGAGAAAGATGGGCACAGATGTTAGCTCTGGGCCAGTCTTGCTCAGCAAAAAGAGAATTGGCAACTGATGTTAGCTCAGGGCTGATCCTCAAAATAAAATAAAATAAAATCTCTACTTATTAAAACAATTCCTCTTCAGCACACAGCTAACTACTTACGAGAGTTAGGTGCTCCTAGAAAGTGTTATGGATAAAGAAGTCCTTGAAACCATTCCATATACTTGATCCACATTAGGGACAATTCTATCTGGAGACAGATGTTTAGATAAAATGACTATCAAAGGGTCTTTCTAGCTGGTTGAATGAAGCTGCTTACGTGAAACTTGTTTAATCATTTCTTTTCTCACTCACCCAAGCACTCAAATAGTTTTATAATTACATTTTGAAAAGATTTATCATCTCCAAGGAAAATGTTTTGAGTTCCCATCAGACACACACAAATCTAGGCTTCACGTGCACACCATGTGTGCTGGGGCTGAGCAGACTACAGGCAGTAATGACTTTATTGAGAGATCATTCCATGTTGCGAGGAGGGTTTCCTTTGCTTTGACCCCAAGTGTCCATCTCACAAAACATGAACCTTGACCTAGAAAACCTTCCTTTCTCTTGTGTTGTTGACTTGGCAGCAGTCTCTCGTGCTGTGTGTCCTTCTGTCTACTGCACCAGAGAAATCCCAGGCAAAGACGTGGAACCCACTCACAGGCTAGCTTGGTACCAGCTTCAAGGTTGGTTGTTGTGATTACCTCATCAGGCTCTTCCTTTGGTTCTGACTTTAGTCTGTGACCTTCTCTCTGAGGCTGGAGAGATGCTGAGTCAGCCAGACCCCAGACATGAAGTTCTGCTGAAGGGAAACCAGCACATCACAGGTGACCACAGAGGCAAATCCATGCACTCAGGACCAGCTACATATATTTGCAGCACCGATGGTTCAAATATTATTGAGAATTTGAAGGTCATGACAGCAGACCATTGAACCAAGTACAGGGTCTTTCTAAAGTGTGAGATTGTGTGCAAAAAGATAGAGTTTTTGAGCTCCATGATATTTATTACTTAATTAATGGCAGCCATTCTTCACAAGGTATTCCGCAGGGAATGGATGTTTTCAACAAAGAACAGAGCATTTTCCACTTACCCTGGAGTCTGCCACCTCTCCCCTAGTCCCTCACACATCTGGACTCCTTTGTGACAGGAGGTCATCGGCAGCTCTTAGCAGCCATCATCTTGTCGCAGAGATAGGTCACTCACAGGTGTGAGGTTGCTCTGCTTGCTGCTGTCTCTCCCCAAACCCGGGAAGCCAGTGCTCCGGTGAATCTGAAGGTGCGCTAGCTACATTCGGTAGGTGTCCCATCTGTAGTGAATTGATAAGAAACAGAGCAAACAATTCATCAAATGCTGATAAGCCTGCCCCTGAGGTCTGGCAACCAGATACCAGGAGAATCTTTGTAGGTGGAAGGACCTCAACAGCATGCTGGTCAGTAAGCAAAGTAGAAACGGATACTTGAAGGGGCATTTGGGACACAAGAGTAAGAAAAGACATCAGAAGGCCATAAGGATTTTCACTAAAATTCAAAACTACAGATATACGTAGATGCATAAAACCAATGTATTAATGAGAAATTATATCACAAGGGAGCTGGCCCGGTGGCACGGTGGTTAAGTTCACACGTTCCACTTTGGTGGCCCGGGGTTAGCCAGTTTGGATCCCGGGTGCGGACGTGGCACCGCTTGGCAAGCCATGCTGTGGTAGGTGTCCCGCGTATAAAGTAGAGGAAGATGGGCACGGACGTTAGTTCAGGGCCCGTCTTCCTCAGTAAAAAGAGGAGGATTGGCGGTGGATGTTAGCTCAGGGCTAATCTTCCTCAAAAAGAAAAAAATTAAAAAAATATATCACATGAATAAATACACGTAGAGTTACAAATTGTTTTGCCAAAAGGTTTAGAACCATTGCAAGACTTGTGTCGATTTGGAGAAATGCATGCTTCCCATTCTAAGGTATTCCTTGCACATTTATTTTTGATTGGATCCTCTGGGGGAAGGGGCATGGCCCCGTGTGACAGGTGGCTCTGGGGCCCAGGCAGGGAGAGTCACATGTCAGAATGACTCCCAGGAGAGCCCTGTTCCCCTGTCATCAGCACACAGACCCAGAAGACCCCTCCATCTGCCCTGTTCCTGCCATGAGCGGTGGCCTCCTGTGCTGGGTGGTCTTTTGTCTCCTGCAGGCAGGTGAGTCCTGGGCAGGGATTTTCATGAGTGAAAATGTCAAGGTCTCATTGCTAAGCCTTTCTGTTGTGTCTGTAGCATCAGCTTCTTCTCCTTCTCCACAGCTCCAGTGAATGCTGGTGTCACCCAGACCCCAAGATTCCAGGTCCTGAGGAGAGGAGAGAACACGACACTGAGATGTACCCAGGATATGAACCACAACTCTATGTACTGGTATCGACAAGACCTGGGACATGGGCTGAGGCTGATCCACTTCTCAGTTGGTGCTGATGCCACTGCAAACCGAGATGTTCCCGATGGTTACAGAGTCTCTAGATCAGATACAAAGAACTTCGCCCTCATGCTGGAGTCCGCTACCCCCTCCCAGACATCTGTGTACTTCTGTGCCAGCAGTTAGCCCACAGTGCTGCACGGCTGACTCCTCTCTGCACAAAAAGCCAGGGGGAGGCCTTGCACCCACGACTCAGCTGAGCCCTTTGTAGACTCCTGGCCCAGGGAGAAATTGGAGCCCAGTGGTCCGTGCATGCAGAGTGAACTCCAGAGTGTGCTGAGGTCTATCTCCAGGGAGGTCTCAGCAATGCCCGACCCTGACCGCAGCTCATCGGGTGGACATGTCTCCACCGTTGTGCTCTGGGTTTCCTCTGCAGCTTCTGCCTTAGCTGGGAAGGTGCTTCCTCAGCTCTGACTTTTCTAGTCATGGGCCTGAGCCTGACTCCTCCAGCATGGAAAGTCCTTGGCAAGTAGGCAAATCCAGACCCTTCATCTCTCCCTGGGCACCTCATTGCTGTCTGTCTCTACAGTCTTCCGCCAGCCCTGGCCCTCAGGTGGTCTCTGCTCCTGTCCACCTCTCTTGTCCAGGGCAGTCACACTACAGGACCTGCTGCGTCTTCCTTTCCCCACCTCTCTGGCTCCAGCTTGCACAGCTCCCCCCACCCTCTCTCCTCCTGGCTCCCTTCTAGTCTCTCCTCTGTGTCAGATCTCTTCCCATCTCAGAGACTTCAAAGGCTGTTTCCTCTGCACTGGACATGAAACTTTTCTCTTTGTGATAGCTAACTCCTACTCACACTCCCATTCAAGGTCCCACTGGATGGACAGACACTTCTGTGTATACCTATTTCCCAGGGGAATTGTGGGCACAGATGGGATGTTTCTGTTCTGGATTTTCCAGGTCTCAGCTACAAAAGTCTCTCCCATGACTGGGGATACCGTCTCCCTCCTACTCAGAGGCAGGGCTCTGTGTCCTGCTTCTCTCTCCCGCATGAGCCTCTGTGATGCTGGAGTTGCAGGGACCCCAGGACACCTGGTCAGAGTGAGGAGACCAGTGGAGACAGGGATTCCATCTCATCTCTAGAAACATCCCTGGACCCAGTTCTGTTGTACCCGAAGGCAAGCACTCTGGTCTCCCTTTGGGCTCCACAGTCTGAGAAATGTCCTTCATAGATTCATAACTGATCAGCTCAGAGGTCTGATGACGAACCAAAGTTAAATCCTCAGAGCTGAGGGAATAGCCGTGCGTTTCTGCAATGCCAGCAGGAATAAAGTGCAGTAGAGATGCTGCTCCCCAAGGAGAGACCTGGCCCCAAAACAGGAAAGAGCAGAGATGATTGAAAGACCATTTCTCAGGGCAATCTTTCCCTCCACTGACCACAATCAGTTCCAAGTAAGCCTGTCTGACCACTCTTCTCACCCAATCAGCTGAGTACCCAGGAAATCACATGTCCCAGGATCTTGTCACAACGGGGCAAATAATTCAGATACCAGGTTCCTTCCTGCACCACAGTGACCGCCCTCTGGAAACTTAGTCTCTTCAGCAAACAGCTGCCTTCTCCTGGCCAGTTATAGCCTGGCAGGCTTGATTCACGATTAATGTAACTTCTCAGTCTACTAAAGCAAGATCATATGACTTTAAAGAAAGCATATTCATTTCACTTTGTTAAAGTCAGCACTCAGTAGAAACTGAGTACTTTTGCTCCCTAACAGTGTTGAATTGATCCATGGTAGAGCAAATCTTGATGCAAGGACCTGGTATTTCAGCTCCCAGTTACTGAGAATACATGAGAATAAAAGAGTCCCCTTGTGTGTCAGGTGGTCTGCTTTGAGTTTATAGAAGAACATTTAATTGTTGCACTAGTACAGGAACATTTATTTTCCCAAGCCATTTTGTCAGTTAGTCTGGGGATTTACAGTTTAAAATATGGCATGTTCTTTAACCTTATTGAGCATAAGGTCTAGAAATATAATTCTGATATCTAGGATATTTCTTGAAGTTTTAGGTTGGGCAAAAACGAAAAAAGATGGGATATCTGTAGATTTAGGAATTTATATAATATAAATAAATATATAATCTCCTTGAAAGGAGATGAAGCAAATGTCATGAATGCATGAACTCACGGGCTCTAATTTATGGAGATAGTGCAATTAAAAGGAAATGGAAAATCAGAATTGCATTCTGGAACTAACTAACTAACTAACTAACATTAGGAAATGCCCTGAGCACATTTCCTAATACTGGGAACCTAAAAGAGCAGGTCTATTCAGCAGCCCACAGCACATAAGACGGTTCTTGGGCTCACGCATTTGGAAGTTAGATTTGAGAGGCTTTTTTTCTTTTGTTTGAGGAAGATTAGCCCTGAGCTAAGATCTGCTGCCAATCTTCCTCTTTTTTGCTGAGGTAGACTGGCTCTGAGGTAACATCCGTGCCTATCTTCCTCTACTTTATATGTGGGACACCTACCACAACATGGTTTGCCAAGCAGTGCCATGTCCACACCCAGGATCCGAACCGGTGAACCCCAGGCCACTGAAGTGGAATGTGCGAACTTAACCACTGTGCCACCGGGCCAGCCCCTTGAGAGGCTTGCAAAAAGTAAGGACTCTTGAAGTTCTGAATTCCCCACCCAGGCCCCTCAGGAATTCCACAGATTAACACTGACAAATATTCTCCCACTATTAAGAATAATAAAAGAAAACAAATGAGAAAAAGTGAACAGAAATAAAAACCTTTTGAAATGAACAACCATTTGGTATTACAACATATGAAAGTTGAAAAGTAACATTCAAATGAATGCAAGAGTGAATTGAAACATGAGAAAGGAAAAAAAGATTATCAAGAGACATCGGCCAATTTTCATTGTATAGTTCTTTCACCTCCTTCATTAAATTTATTCCTAGATATTTTATTCTTTTTGCTGTAAATGTAAATGCACCCATGTTCTTGAGTCCTCTTTCTGTTATTTCATTATTAGAGTATAATTATGCAACTGATTTTTGTAATTTGATTTTGTACTCTGCAACTATGAGACATTATTGAAAGAAATCGATAATGACAATCTCTGAAAAGAGATTGAAAGAATAAACATAGTTAAAATATCCATATTACCTAAAGCAATCTACAAGTCAAGGCAATCCCAATGACATTCTTCACGGAAATAGAGCAAAGAATCATAAAATTCATATGGAGAAACTATAGACCCTGAATAGCTAAAGCAATCCTGAGAAAAAAAAGTCAAGTTGGAGGCATCACAATCCCTGACTTCAAAGCATACTTCAAAGCTATGGTAATCAAAACAGCATGGTATTGGTACAAAAACAAACACACAGAGCAATGGAACAGAATTGGAAGGCCAGAAATACAACCACACTTCTACGGAATAGCTTATCTTGGACAAATGATCCAAGAACATATAATGGATAGAGGAAAGTCTCTTCAATGGTGGAAAACTGGACTGTCACATGCAAAAGAATGAAAGTAGACCATTATCTTACTCTGGACACAAAAATTAACTCAAAATGGATTAAAGACTAGAAGGTAAGAAGCGAAACCATAAGACTCCTAGAAGAAAATATAGGCAGTACAGTCTTTGACAATGGTCTTAGCAGCATCTTTTCGAATACCACGTCCACTCAAGCAAGGGAAACAAAAGAAAAAATAAACAAATGCGACTACATCAGACTAAAGGGCCTCTGTGAGGCAAAAGAAACCATGAACAAAATAAAAAGTCAACCCACCAACTGGGAGAAACTATTTGCAAATCATATATCTGACAAGGAGTTGATATCAAAAATATATAAGGAACTCATACAACCCAACTATAAAAAAACAAACAACCCAATCGAGAAATGGGCACATGATATGAACAGACATTTTTCCAAAGAAGATATACAGATGGCCAACAGGCACATAAAAAGATGTTCAACATCACTAATCATTAGGGAAAAACAAATCAAAACTACAATGAGATATCACTTTATATGTGTTAGAATGCTATAATTACCAAGGAAAAAAGAAATGCTAGAGAAGATGAAGAGAAAAGGGAATCCTCACCCGTTACTGGCGGGAATGCAAACTAGTGCAGCCACTATAGAAAACAGTATAGAGATTTCTTGACAAATTAAAAATAGAAATACCACATGACCTACGTATCCCACTACTGGACATTCATCCAAAGAACTTGAAATTAACAATTCAAAGAGTCTTATGCATCCCTATGTTCATTGCAGCATTATTCACCATAGCCAAGACACGGAAACAACCCAAGTGTCCATCAACTGATGAATGGATAAAGAAGATATGGTGTATATCTACATATAAGGGGATACTACTCAGCCGTAAAAAAGACTAAATTTTCCCATTTGCAATGACATGGGTGGACCTTGAGGGTCTTATGTTAAGTGAAATAAGCCAGACAGAGAAAGACAGACACTGCATGATTTCATTCATGTGTGGAAGATAAATAAACACATGGTCAAAGAGAACAGATTACTGGTTACCAGATGGGAAGGGGGTTGGGGGGTGGGCATAGAGGGTAAAGGGGCACATATATATGATGACTGACAAATAATAATGTACACCTGAAATTTCACAAAGCTAGAAACTATTACGATCTCAATAAAATAATTTAAAACACACACAAAAAATCAGCTAACAAAAAAGCATCACGTAAGATATTCGGAAATGATTAACATAATCATTGACAAAAATAATGGGTAAATCAAATAGCAGAGTCAATCATCTGCTAAATGCTAAAGAGATTATGAATAACACAAAAAACTAATTAGAGGAAATTACCTAGAAAGTAGCATGGAAAATTAAATGTGAAATATGGAAAAGAAGTTAAAGGACAAGGATGAAAAATCATACATAATATTTTATTAGGATTTCCTCTTTTTTCTTCCATTTAATTGAAATTTCAGAAAGAGAAAATAGTGAACTGATATAAGGTGAGGTTGTATGAGATGTTACTGGGGACTTCTGAAATGTGATTAGAGACATAAACCTTTGGATTAAGGAGGAGAATTGAAATGAATCCCAGTAAGGTAAACAGATGCATCGCAGTGAGATTGTTGAATGTGAATGACAAAGGGAAGAATTTAAAGAAGTAAAAAGGAAAAAACAAA